CGAGAATTCGTTTATTGAAAAAAGTGATCGTCTCTAAAGGAATAATAAGAAGAAGAAGATGCCTGCTCTAGCTTGTGTTGATACTCCCGTCGATGCGTTTTCCGGTGACTGCGGAATCTTCATTCCAAATTCCGCCTCCGTTGTTGGCGGCTCTTGCCATTGGTCTCCATCGCTCTCCGCTTCGCTTTACCGAATCGACGGATGGGGTGCTCCGTATTTCACCGCCAATTCCTCCGGTAACATCTCCGTTCGTCCTCATGGCTCATACACTTTGCCTCACCAAGACATCGATTTGATGAAGGTCGTTAAGAATGCGACGGATCCGAAATCCTCCGGTGGTCTCGGTTTGCAGCTTCCTCTTATCGTACGATTCCCTGACGTTCTGAAGAATCGGCTTGAGTGTCTTCAATCTGCGTTTGATTTCGCTATCCAGACTCAAGGCTATGATTCTCATTACCAAGGTGTTTATCCTGTGAAATGTAACCAAGATCGATTCATTATCGAAGATATCGTTGAATTCGGATCGAGTTTTCGGTTTGGATTGGAAGCTGGTTCGAAACCTGAGATCCTTCTGGCTATGAGCTGTTTGTGCAAAGGTGATCCTGGTGCTTTTCTTGTGTGTAATGGTTTTAAAGACGCTGAGTATATCTCACTGGCGTTACTTGGGAGGAAACTGGAATTGAACACTGTGATTGTTCTTGAGCAAGAAGAAGAGCTTGATTTAGTTATTGATTTGAGTAAGAAGATGAATGTTAGGCCTGTGATTGGGTTACGAGCTAAGCTGAGGACTAAGCATTCTGGTCATTTTGGTTCCACTTCTGGTGAGAAAGGCAAGTTTGGATTGACCACGGTTCAGATTGTTCGTGTTGTGCGGAAGCTTCGTCAAGTGGGTATGCTAGATTGCCTCGAGCTGCTTCATTTTCATATCGGTTCACAGATTCCGTCAACGGCTTTGCTCTCCGACGGTGTAGCTGAGGCTGCTCAGCTTTACTGTGAGCTTATCCGTCTTGGTGCTCGCATGGGAGTTATTGACATTGGTGGTGGGTTAGGGATTGATTACGACGGGTCGAAATCCGGCGAATCGGATCTTTCTGTTGCTTACAGTCTTGAGGAGTATGCTGCAGCTGTTGTGGCATCCATTAGGTTTGTTTGTGATCAGAAATCTGTGAAGCATCCAGTGATATGCAGCGAGAGCGGTCGAGCTATTGTCTCTCATCACTCGGTTTTGATCTTTGAAGCTGTCTCAGCTGGTCAACAACATGAAACCCCAACTGATCTTCAATTCTTGCTTGAAGGGTACTCGGAGGAAGCTCGAGGTGATTACGAGAATCTTTACGGTGCTGCGATGCGTGGTGATCGCGAAAGCTGCTTGCTTTATGTTGATCAGCTGAGGCAGAGTTGTGTTGAATGGTTTAAAGAAGGTTCGTTGAGCATTGAACAGTTAGCTGGTGTTGATGGGTTATGCGAGTGGGTGATTAAGGCGATTGGGGCATCGGATCCGGTTCTTACTTACAATGTCAATCTATCGGTTTTCACTTCGATTCCTGATTTCTGGGGGATTGATCAGCTTTTTCCTATAGTCCCAATCCATAGGCTTGATCAAAGGCCCATGGCGAGAGGGATCTTATCAGATTTGACTTGTGACAGCGACGGAAAGATCAACAAGTTCATAGGCGGAGAGTCGAGCTTGCCGTTGCACGAGCTGGACAACAATGGCTGCAGCAGCGGGCGATACTATTTGGGAATGTTCCTGGGCGGGGCTTATGAGGAAGCTCTGGGTGGAGTCCACAATTTGTTCGGTGGGCCAAGCGTGGTTCGGGTTCTGCAGAGCGATGGACCTCATGGATTCGAAGTGACCCGTGCTGTGATGGGTCAATCCTCTGCGGATGTCCTCAGAGCAATGCAGCATGAGCCAGAGCTCATGTATGAGACTCTTAAACACCGAGCTGAGGAGTTATCTTCGGTCCAGGCGCAGAGGAACAACAAAGCTGGTGCTGAAAAACTAGCTGCATCGTGTCTAGCTCGTTCATTCAACAACATGCCTTATCTTTCCATGGAAACGTCCACAAACGCTCTCACCGCAGCCATCAACAACCTCGGCGTTTACTACCGCGACGAAGCACCTGGTGATGGTGGTAAGGATGAGAAATGGGCTTATTTCGGAGGTGTATTGAAAGAGACTTGACATCCTCTGTGTTTGATCTTCACCGCACAATCATTGTTCCTATATTTCTTCATATTCAGTTTTTAAGTTAAGAGTTGTAATAAGGCAAATTTCAACAGTTATAAACTAGTGTTTTAACATTAGGAAATTGTTAACCATGATAATCATTTCTTATAAACTTTTAATATTCATCTTATGATCAAGTAGCTGTTTAAGTCTCTTTCCGAATATTTAAAGTAAGTAACCTTTTCTTGACATTTAGGGTTGATGCATTTGGACCATTGAAGAGTCTTTTGAGTATAACCAAAAAAATATTCTAACGTGAAGAGACAAGACGCACACATTTAGGATTGATGCATTTGGACCATTGGAGGATGCAAAGGAAACGTAACGACCACAAACACACACACGTGACACGGATAAGTCTGTCTGTATTTTTACCATGGAATCCTAATTTCGTGGCTCTTCTCAATCCGTGTTTTGGGTTGGGCAATTTTAGACCTTCCGTAAAAAAGAGGCATATTTTGGAACTAAAACCTTTAAAGGTTCGGAGTTTGTGGTTATCATGGACCACGTTTCCATGTGCAAATCTATTTGGCTTGTAATATTTTCAATATCGGAATATGTTATTCTTTTCTATATCGAGTTTAAGAAAAAAGCATATAAACATGCATAGAAATTAAACAGAGAGAGAAAATGAAAAAAGGTTAGAACTTTAGAAGTGTTGATCAAAGAAAAGTTTAAGAACAAATCAATTACATTAACCAATCAAAATATTATAATTCAATCCTATATGCCATGGTGAAAGTAACATAAGGGATACAAAAATGAAATGCGAATATGTAAATGACTCACAATAATTGACGTGAAAGCGTTTAAGCAGTCGCAAGTAATAATTTCAATAAGATAGACTTTGTATTCAACAAAATGCAAATAAGCTAGTTGGCAACTTGCGGTATCTACTTTGCTTTCTTTTTCTTCCTTTTTGAATTTCCAAAATAAAAAGATTCGTAATAAGATACCAAACGTTGCTACATGAATATTTCATGCATGTTTTGGTTGTTTAGAGACGTGAATGTTGTATACAAAACCAAGTTTTTTAAGTGTTGTGTACAGCCTCAATTTTCTTAAAGCTTAAAATACTTTCAATCATAATTCAAATTTAATTTGGAACGTAAATCCGAAATAATAAAGATATAATCATTTGATGGTAGATAAAAAAAATTTCAACAACCAAATTTGTGTCCCCGACTCTCTGACTACCCCCATGCACCACCACTAGGCCCTGGTTCACCATCGAGACAATCATGATGGCGTATAAATCCAAAACACATGTTGTATTCTGATGTGGTTACTGACCATGAATTGATTAAGTTAATCCAGTGGTTTAGTAGAAAAAAATTGTTCACAAACTAGTCATCCATTAAAAACCTGCTTAAGATTCTAACAGGTCTATAGGAAAAAAACAATTTAGAGTTTTCAAATTTGATTTTTTTTTATTAAAAATTGCTAATAACAAATTTTAATGGTTTTTGTGTGAATGATTTTTTTGTAGATTTTGTGACAGAAAGAAAAGATTACATATAATAGTATCTTTTCAATCTTGTTTTGGATTTAAAAAGTTAAAATATTTTTTTAAATTGAATTTTTGTAATTATTGTAATACGAAATTGGATCTTGGATAGTCACATCTCATGTCCCCCTACTAAGTCGGACATGCTTCCATTGTGAAAACTGATCATAACATAAACAAATATGAGGTCATTTTAGGCATCGAAATTCTTTATTCTACCTAATCTATAAATCCAAGCCAAAATACTTCCTTGTTCTAAATGTAAACATAATTCCTAATGATTTTAATCATGAAATCTATCCCAAGCTCATTTAGATTCAATTTAATTCTGTTGGACCAAATTTTGGAATAAACAAATGGACTTTTTATTGGGCCTTTGTGTTATGCAAAATTGGTAGAAAAGTGAATGAGAAAAACCTCTTATTTAGTAAGTGAGTGACTTGTAAAATGTCCCACATCTAAAGTTTGAGAGTTTTTCAAGTAGTATATATATGGTCACTCATATGTCTATGTTCAAAACATAACACATCTATGGACCAAGTGTAAGAAGAGGGAAACCCCACACGCGCGCCGAACCGAACCGAACC